ACATTAGAACCATATAACTAGAGGCTAGACATCAGAACCATTACAGTATGTTCGAGACAACAACTCTGCCGGTGTTCTGGATTAAAGTCATGACAGAATACCCTGAGATCGCCACCACAGCACTGAAAACCCTGTTGCCATTTCCGACATCCTATCTGTGTGAAGCGGGTTTTTCTGCAGTGACAGCAACCAAAACAAAACAACGGAGTAGACTGAACATAAGCAACACACTTCGGGTGTCATTGTCTCCTATTACCCCCAGATGGGACCGTCTCGTTGCAGAGAAACGCTCAGGGCTCCCATTGATTTAGCGTTATGGGGAGTTAAAATTTTCATGCACTTTATATTCGTTTTTGTGGTGTATCTGTATCTTATTTTGAAGGCATGTTTAAATGTTACCATAGCGACCAGAGTCAGAGAGTGTTGGGGCTGTGGTCGCCAACAGAGGGAGGTGAGGGAGAGGGGAGGAGGAGAACTTGTGAGTCTTATCGGGCACACAAACATGCAGGAGCCTTATCTGACGGTTCAAACTGGCAACTTTATTTATTTAGCTGTTGAAAAATAACATTCATGGAGTGTTTAATATAAAAAAAATAAAAATGTTGTGTAGGTATATTCAGATAATAGAGAAAGAATTGTGGAATTGCTGGTTCTTGTCATTTATTTATTTTTCCACGTGAATTTTTTTTATAATTTATTTATGAGGCAGAGAGGATGTTACTAGAGACTTTGATGTTATACTCATGTTATGTTGTTGGCGCAATGTTACGAGGAAGCTGCTAATAAACCGCATAAAAACATCGCCATTATCATAAGAAGAAGAAAACTCCTAAAGTCCTAAGAGGGTGTTTTTAGATCTACACATTAATATTATTTGCGCATAACATAATAGCATAGACGATCTTGTGTGCGCAGTCGATTGGCGACTCAAAATTGTCCCTAGGAGTGAGCGTGTGTGTGTGGTTGTTTGTCTACTTGTCAGCCCTGTGACATACTGGTGATCTGTCCAGGGTGGACCCCGCCTCTCACCCAATGGCAGTTGGGTTTGGCTCCAGCCTCCCGTTTGGGACTAAGCGGTATAGAAAATGGATGGATGGATGGATGGATGGGTAGAAGCTATGGGACCAGAAATGTAAGGGAAGACATTTGTATCAAATTTAGCAGGAACTAGCAGAAGAATGGGTAACGTGGTAAACGGACGAAAATGGTCTCTGATCAGTAGACTAAGATTGGGATACATTAACTCCTCGCTACTTCTCATTGGAAAACACCTGGATGAAATGCGTGATGCCTGCAATCATACAGAAACTGCAGAACATTTGCTTGGACTGCCCAATATATGCAAATGAAATACGTGTATTAAGGAGAAGAAGGGGAACAAATGCATGGGCCTCAAGACAGTTCTGTCAAACAACACTGGAAACTCGAAACTGTAGTTTGTAATGAACAGCATAACATAGGACTGGTTTTTAGAATAACAGAATATAGTAACCCAACAGTAGGTGGCGGTATTGCGTAATCGGGATGGAATTCGCCAATTGAAGAAGAAGAGGAGGAGGACGAGGACGAGGGGGAAGAGGAAGAAGAAGAAGAAGGGAAAAAAAAGCCTGCTTTCTACAGCTGTCTGTCGTCTTTTGGGAGAATGGGTCGTGGTGAGGAGCTCAGTGACTTTATGCGTGGCAGAATTGTTGGATGTCACCAATGTAAAGTGTCAGTGCGTGAAATTTCCGCCATATTAAACCTGCCTCGTTCCACGGTGAGCGCTGTGATTTTGAAGTGGAAACGTAAAGGAATAACGACGGCTCTTCCCCGGAGCGGCCGACCACACAAGCTCAAAGAGGAGCACCGCCAAGTGCTGGAGAGGGTAGCGTTGGAGAAGTGTTTGCCCTCGGTAGAAGCTCTCACCACCGAGTTTCAGACCGCCTCTGGAGCCACTGTTAGCTCCAGGACTATCCGCCGGGAGCTCCACGAGATGGGCTTCCGTGGCCGAGTGTCCACATACAGCAAGACTAAAGGTGCGTTCAGGTGCTCGTCGGTTTAGTTACACCCCACAGTAGCTGTTCTTCATGTGGTTCTTTTACAAATATACCATACACAGGCTGCATGTGACACCAGTTTTCTCTGTTATAGAAATCTTACACTTAACTTTATAGACACACAAATATACATGCAATACATATCACCGAAAACCCAAAAAGAAAATTCTGTTTTACCTTAAATGTCTTTGTAGTAGGCCTAGATAATATTTTCAGTAGTATCTTAACGCTAAAAATGTTCTTTCTTCTCATAATTCTTCTATGTAGCCGTTTTCATTCAGACAGTCTATTGAACTGACCTTTGTTCTTGCCTGGGGCAATATAAACTGCTTTCCAACTGATTTTGTAGTAAAGAAATTATCAGGGCAAACATTTGTTGCTGGGCCCCTTACTGGCCCCCAGTGTTTCCCCAGACGCCCAGAAACCAGCCAACATTCTAGAGGTCCAACATAGATTTTGAGTGATAAGAGTTGGATCACAGTTTATATTCTAGTTCATATGTGTTGGATGGAGTTGAGGTCAGGACTCTCTGCAGGCCACTAAAGTATTTCACCTCTTTTGTCCAAATTGGAATATCTCAACAGCAACTGGAGATATTGCCTTGATATTTTCTACAGACATTCATGCTTAATTAATTAATCCCATGACATTTTTTCTAGACACATCACCAAAATGTCTCTAGTCACGTTTCTCTTAGGCTTAGTTGAAATAACCTTTGTAAATATGACTTTGTTCAGTCATTAGTTTCAGGCCCAAATACCTTAAAAGTAATTGACATACCCACCAGCCTCACAAGCATTTGTCTTTCTTCAATTCCAGGAGGGAAAGCTGTAGAAACGAAGCGGGCAGCCCTCAGCCCAGGGGATGCCAAGGTGGATGTGTCTCGTCTGGACCTGCGTGTCGGATGTATAATCACAGCTCAGCAGCTTCCAGACACAGATGATCTGTACATGGAGCAGGTTGATGTGGGAGAGGCGTTGCCCAGGAGAGTGGTCAGCAAACTGGCTAAGCACATACCTGTGGATCAGGTACAGTGTTTTACTATTATATAACTTAAGTAGTGGGTTTAAATACTTTATGCATTATTTTATGATTTTATACATCCATATACAATTTATGACCATGGTTTCACTTTGTTGTCACAGGTTATTAAGTGTATAGTGATGGATAGAAATGGCATTTGCATCCATTCAAAACTGAATTCACAACACGTTCCAGTGTATCTGTTGTACCATTTAGGTTTTCTGTCTACGTATTAGGCAGTAAAATGTTATTAGCTCCACAGCCCCAGTCTTAGGAAGGCCTTTTATTGTTTCAACATGACATTGTCCCCCTGTACAAACTGTGGCTGAAGAAATTGTTTCCAAGTTTATCATGGAACTACGCAAGTGGTCTCCACAGAACCTTGACGTTTACTAGAGCCAGTCAATATAAAATAATCTTTTTGCCACTTCTCTACTTTTGTCAAGCAAGCAAGAGTGAAATATTTGGGGAAATTCATTTCTGTTTTATACCCTAAAAATATTATTCTGAGAGGGTAGTCGCAAAAAGTATTGCACTGTTAAGCCAAGTGTATACAGTGTGCACAGTGTTACCTTAGTCAAACAGTTTATATAAAAGCAGTTACAAAGTTTTTTCTGATCCTTGGATGTTTTTGTGCATTATTTTGTACTGTATGTAATTTTATTCTTCTGTTGTATGTTAGTGTGTTGTCTAACTGCTCCAAATCAGTAGCCTTTAGTGGCATTAATAAAGATGTTGGGATTGTAAAACTTCCTCATATACAGTCTCTGCCTTGAGATGAAACGTTCTCAGATTTTGGCAGAAATGGTTTCCGGTCTTCTAAATTTTGGTGGGTTTGCACAGATATCCAGGCTGGAGAATCTATGGTTTATGAAACGAGAGCTGTAAACATGTATTTAAAATGTCTGTCCCTTGTTTAGATGCAGAATCGTATGGTAGTCCTGCTATGTAACCTGAAGCCAGTCAAGATTAGGGGAGTGCTTTCCCAGGCTATGGTCATGTGTGCCAGCTCGCCAGACAAGGTCGAAATCCTTGATGCCCCAATTGGAGCAGTACCAGGGGACAGGGTTACTTTCCAGGGATTCCCAGGTACTAATCATTAGGTTAATTGTTATCATCAACCGAACAGACATGAGATACAGATCCACTCGTCACTGAGCGACTTGTCAGTGGTGGTCATTAAGTTGACCCTACTGCAAGAAGTGTCTTAAAGAAAAGGAAGTCACTTTCACCAATGGCCAGTTTAGAGCAAAGACAACCTGCATCAAAATTCTGACACTGTGAGAAATGTAGGACCAAAATCCCACAAACTGGCAGCTGCTACAACCCACAGACTGACCAATCAGAATACAGCAGGAAATGATGCAGCATACACTGGTGTGCTAGTTTAACGCCACTGATTAAAAAATGTATTCTCTTTTTCAACATTGGCATTCTACATTGCTTTCCGGTTGGGGAAGGACTGCTCTACTTTGTGAGCCACAGTCGTGGGTGTCCATCATGCAATCTAATATGCCTCAGAATTGTATTGCACTGCCCTGGTGGGTCTACAGTTTTAGACCCATCTCCCTCTGTGTGACACCTGTGAGGTTGTCATAATTGCACAGTTTACAGCACCTTTAATTCCACATGAACGCTTGGTACTATAATATATGCTATTTTAGACAGTTGTGTCCTTCCAAGTTTATGGCATTCCCCCCATGCACAAAGCTGGGTCCATGAGGAAATTGTGGTTGTTAAATTTAGATGCACTGTGAGCAGGACTCATCACTGATTTTTTTGGTGTTCTGAATGGGAATAAGTCACTGCAGCTAGTTTCCATAGTCTTTGGGAAAGTGTTTTCCAGAGGACTGGAAACTGTAACAGCAGCATGTTACTTCCCATTTAGTATGTTGTGCAAGGACATGACATCAGTCTGAAATCAATCATCCTGCATGTGTGATGGTGTGAGAGCACACAGGAGTTTCTTCTAATGTACTAAACTGACTTCTTCATTGCAGGTGAGCCAGACAAAGAGTTGAACCCCAAAAAGAAAGTGTGGGAGCAGATTCAGCCAGACCTACGCACAGATAGCCAGTGTGTTGCAGCATACAAGGGGGCTGCTTTTGAAGTCCCTGGCAAGGGAGTGTGCAAAGCCCAAACCATGAGCAACAGTGAAATCAAATAAACTGAGCTGCTTGAAGTAGTTCATCACAAATCTCTGCAGCCAAACTACTGCAGGAAAACTTTCCAGAAGAGTGGAAGATGTAGCGACATATTATTCCCTATGGTTTTAGAAGGATATGTGTAACAATCACTTTAATGTTATGTTTGAATGTCCTGCTTTAAGTAAAAGCCAGGGAACTTGATAGTGCAGAATATGCCGCCCTCTGTTGGAGAAACTTGAACATTTCTTTTACAGTTTTTATCATGAAAATCTGTAGTTTTCTGTTTAGTCAAAGGAGGGCGCTGCAGGAGCGATGACAGTGTACAGTGTGTGCAGTGTTTTGGTGAGGTGAGACATGACATGTAATGAGACATACACAGTCATATCCAGCATGGTCAAAAAACCCTTTTGTGTGAGTTTCCCATGATGCTACAGTGAACACGGGTTCATCCACAACAATGCGGACGTTCCATGGGAAAGGGAAGACTCAAAGTAATAGTTTTACTTTTCTTTTAATGAATGAAATTAGATAAGGACTTGATCCAAGGTCAGTTGATTGACCTGCTGTGGCAGTTTTCTGTTTCTTCTATAATCAGATGCTGGCGACATGTTTGTGTGTCAGCATACATAGTTATTACAAATATGTATCCTACTTGACAGCCAGGCAATGTTCTCTTCAATGATCATGGTATTGTTTAATGGTAGTTTCCCAGGATTCCCAAGAAATAGAAAGCTAGCGGTTCTCAGTGATTGATACTGTACATTTCTTGTTTAAAAGAAATCCTCTTTGTTTTTTCCCCTTGGGATGAGAGTGAAAGACAAGTCCATAACACAGTTCTTCTTTATGTTAAAGGAAGAACTGAAAGACTGCACGCAAAGAGGGTTGTGATTCAGGAACTAAGAAGTGGAACAGATTGTCAGAGACTTTGTGTTGTTAAATGTTTGACACAACGAGAAAGCTGAAAGGGAGTGGTATCACCATTTTTGTTTACGGTGAATACCTTTCATAACCGTGGCAGAAACCTCTCTCCTACACACCTGATGAAAATCTAGGTTCACATTTCTCATTAAAGGGAGGAAACGTTACTGTGGCTGTGTAGTGGCTATACACAGCCTTGATCATGTTGTCCTATTGGTCATTATGTATTCCACTGAACAGAACTGTTTTGCTTCAGAGTAGTTTAAATAAACTGTAGTTTAAGAAAATGCGTACAGAAGCACTACAATGGCAGACCAAGATGTTTTCCATTTCATATTATGTTGTGTTGACATTAATAAAACCACTTGAATATCAAAAGGTCATGAGTGTGGATATTGGTGTCATGTCAGCCTACAGACCCATAGGGTAAACCATGCTGGAGACAGTGGAGGTTACAGTAAAGGTTCTTCACTCAATTTTGTCTCCACATGCGCAAGTCAGACCTGTCAATGTGCAACCTGTTGACTCTGTGTGGTTTACCACAGGGGAAAGTTTGTAAACAACCTGCTGAAGCCATGTTTCAGTTGTATTGAGTCAACATGAATAAAGTGCTGCTTCCCCCATCCTGTTTTTGAGAGATCACAATGAGCAGGAAACTCAGCAAAACTCTTTTTCACATGTGTCATAACCTCAATGTTTCCGTGATATTTAGTAGTCATTCCACATATATGTATTTATTTCCACCTAATTTTTTGGTATTATCATTTAAAAACTTCAGAATCTTAGATACTCTTCTAAGAAAGGTATCTGGGCCTGAACAAGTTTGCAATGAGTCACCTGCCAGTAAGTCTGTGGGGTTTAGGAGTGTTTTCTACACATTTGAGTTCAATTGGCACAAAGTAATTTACATAAAGCAAATGTATTTGTTCTAGCATAGCAGAGATGTACTGGGGTTAGTTTATAGACAGTAGTCCACAACTAGTAAACTGACAATAGAAGTTGAAATGGAGGCAGACTACTGCTCAACAGTTGAGAAAAAAAAGCCTAACACAAAAAATAACAGTCATGTTAAAAGATGTGGGTCGCCAGAGATTGTTCGTTCTAATTAATTAGTTTCCAAACGCCTGCTCGCTGACGTGTCCCGTGACGCGCTCACGTTATTTAGCGTGGAGCGGCGCTGCGCTCCAGCTGAAGAGGGGGGAGGAGAGGACTGCGGTGTTATTGTCGGGCTCACAGTGGAGTTGTCGTCTGTGTGCCTCAATACACGGACGGACGTCGCAGCTCTGAGGTCATTTACACTGCTGGTTGGTCATTCTGACCGGCTACAGCGCGGTTTCCTCTGCAAAACAAGGCAAACGTCGACACGGAGCGGATCGCACCCGCCAGGGGAGCATGGACGACAAAGACTGATCCCAGCGCGGCAGCAAACCTGGCCAGGTGGCCAGCGAAACCGCAAAGAAATTCATTTATTTAAAGGCCTGTGCTGCATACAAGAGGCTGCTTCTGCAAGAGGAGGTTTGTGTGCACGAAATTTGGCGTTGGACGTCCGTGCTACAGGCCGTCCCCAACCCTTCTTTGCTGGCAGGTTTAATTATAACAACACCTGCATGCGAGTCTTACCTTCGCTCGGACGTGCGATAGTAGACGGTACTGTAAGGGTCGAGAATCGATCAGGGGATTATCAGGACCATATCAGTGTTTTAGTAATTCAGTCATCCTTTCTGAACGCAACCACATCCCGGCTGGACTAGGTTGATGGTCGCCATCATCAGTCCTCTGTTTTCAATGGTCCCTTAAAAAAAAAAAGGTGAATTATGTGGGTCAGTCCCGAAGATGTGCTGCTGGCGGGTGCGTTGTGGATCACGGAGAGAGCAAATCCATACTTCATCCTACAGAAACGGAAGGGCCATGGGGACGGTGGCGGAGGACTGGCGGGTGAGTCACATCTTTATACTCTAATGAATAACGAACGACCAACAAATACAAGTGTGTGTGTTGATAAAGTAATGGTCATAATGATGAGACGTCAAGTGAAGCGTGATGAAATGAGCGGGATCACATGGCCAATCAGTCAGCTGTCACATGTGGCCTTTCACCTCAATATGTATGTTAGTAAGATGAGCTGTGTTTACTCTACTGATTGACTCATTCACACTCTTGGTAAAGGTTCAACCTTTGACCAAGTGTGAAGATATTAACCTAAGGGCCAAAGAGCAGCAGATATCTTTTGTCTCATCTTGTAATTCCTCCAAAAATTAGGCTGGATTCTGCTTTTTATATACTGATGAAAACAGTGACTTGGTTTATTCTGCAAGGGAAAATTAGGGTCCAGTTATTACAACAATACAGACAATAGCAGCTTGTTTGAGCTGTGCAGCCTCAACAGTGAATCTGTCTCACCACTAACCAGAGACATGGTCTGTTTGCCTGTTCATGCTGAATCATTCCTCTTTTGCTTCAAACCCTCCTCCTCCTCCTCCTCCTTTGCTTATTCCATCAGAAATGGGTCAAGGAGCAGCAAGAAGAGGAGAACGAGGACAGGTTAGGGACTTGACTGGCCAAGGTTCCCAATTTAACAGCCCTGCTGTTCTGTTTCCCCCAGAGCTGTGAATTTTGGTTCATTCCCAGTTCAGTTTGTCACAGTTTACTTCAAAGTGCAGCACTTCATCAAGTTTAAGAGATGAGATGCAGTTGAACGTCTCTGAAAAATGTATGTGAGAAGTTTTATACATTATATTATCTACACACCCCCCCCCCCCTTCCCCTTTCTATTTTGTACAGTAATATTATGGTGAAATATTAGATGTCCCCACATTTCCTAATTTAATTTCAGCCCAAAGCACATCACAATATCTGTGATGAGTGATTTCTTTCCCTGTCTTGCTTTTGAGTCCTAATGAGATAAAACTGATGTATTTCACAAGAAAAGAAAAAATTCCAAACAAAGTATCATGTTTCTTTATTAGTGTTTGGTCACTCCTTCGGTTTATCGTGTGACCCTGTATGAAAGCCACAAGAGAGGAACCAAATATTTCTTTTACACAATAGTAGAATTGGTTTATGGACAGAACAGCAAGGTGTGAATATCTGTTTTCTCATTAATGTGGTGAACTAAATACCTGACAATTACACCAATGTCAATCTTTTACCCAATATTGCCATAAAGCAGTGTTTTCCTAATGCGCCTAGAGATTTTAAAAGGTTAGCTTCCACAGTAAACATCACATAGACCAGCTTTTATCATCTCACAGTATGTGTTATTGTATTTCCCAACCTTAGCTGACTAATAAAGGCATGACAAACATTAAATCTTTGGCAGTGTTCAGACATGACATACAACTTGAACGCAATACACTGGTTAGATTTTTAATACTGTACAACATTGGTCATTTAACCCTCTTTGATATGAATAATTTAATATTAGGCTTCGCGCTCTCAGTCTCTGGTGTGTTCTTGCTGTGGCAACACGAAGTGTGCTAAGTGGTGCTAGGGCATGATGTCATTGTTATGTAAATGCTGAGCTTGCTGACTTGTACTGTGTGCCAGTCAGCACTGGCACCGTCCTCCAGCAGTGATTCCAGGGAGAAGCAATGAGCTGCACCGGAACAAAGCTTTAGGCGTACATCTGCATATTCCACTTAACAAGACTTGAGCTCCGGCCACATTGAGCAGAGACAGACGGGTTCAGAGTATATGCAGTGTTTTCCTAGAGAAACCAGGAACTAGGTGGATAAGGGAATGATTTGATGCACGGCTCCTTAGACATCTGAACAGGAGGTTGGGTGTCCATCAACTATCTCCAGAAACATGCGAACATATCGAGTCGAACAAGGCATTTTATACATATATCAGTTATCTCTGGAACCTTCAAAGAGTGTCCTGCTGTAGTTTTCCTTAAAGCTCTTAAAACCTGCAGGGTAATATAGAGAATGTGAAGTTGACATCATTGCTGTGTTGAATTTTGGATAAATGTGTCATGTTTGGAGCACCACGCTCATTATCATTATGATAAATGTATACACTACACATTCTATACAGTACATATACTATACATACAGTAGCTGCTGCTGCTGTGTTCAGTTTGAGCACAGACAGGACAGAAATTTATTCATGAGCAGTGAACCAGTGGTTTAAACACAGCATGGAAATAATGATTAACCTAACAGTGCTATAAATTCTGGTTGGCAAAACAGGAAGTGCCTGCTCAGTGCTGTGTTTAATGTCATTTGCATGAAGCACTAACCTAAGCTACCAGATTTTAATTGTCACTTCTAGCCTCACTGTATATTATGATTAAGGTACAGTATTTTGTCACATACTGCAGAAACACATTTAGAGAGAGACACTTTAAATTTGTTTGACGATGATCCAGGCTTGTCTCAGGTTTCTGTTATAGGTCTGAGGGAGATTTTTGGGATAAAGAGGATGTAAACAAGAGAACAAGTAGCTCGTTCCTCATGCTGTTGGTTTGGTTTCCTGCTCTTTGACGGAGTGAAAAACACTAATGTTTCAGAGAAGGTGATTTGTTTTGCTGTAATGGTAGGGAGCTCTGATTGCATCCTTTTTCTGAGCAGAGTGGCGCATGATTTTATAGCTTGCTCTTTTGAGAAGATTGCTCACTTTGAAGAGCTTTCCAGCCATCGAGGAAGTACAGCTGTGTGTTTTTGTTTTTTAGGTTGTGCACCCGCGCGTTCAGCGTGTGGAAGTAAATTATTACCGTAAAAGCAGAAGCACTCACATGGAGTTTAGTTTGATGAATCAGTGCTGCAGAGGCATGTGATGTTCAGATCGGCCTGTTAAAAAGCAAGCGTCACCCTCACTCCAGCGTTAGTCTGTAAAGACGAGAGACATTGTGGATGACGAGTGATCTTACACCTTCAGTGGTCTTACACCAGCACGTGGTCTCCTTTCTTGTGTGCAGCCCCCGAGTTTCCTGCGTTAAACCTCAGGTCACAAGTCGGTCATTTCATGCAGCACAAATAAAGTATAAATGTTCTGCTTTTTGTGAATTTGTACTACCAGACTTTAAGAAATAGCAATAGATACTTAAATTTGCCTTATCACTTTGGTGTTTTGAGAGGGAACTCTTAATTAAATCCTCTTGAGGTCAACATGCGGGCAACTGTTGTGTTTTTCAGCCATGATTGCTTTTGATAAAGAGGTTGTTGTCTTCACACAGTAGTTGATTGTTTCTGAATTGTGAGGCTGCATTATGACATTAGTTTTAATGTGATTAAGACTCAAATCAGCTCCAGCTGATGGCATTTGTATTGACCTCATCAGCCCTGGGAATATACCGAAGCTATACAAATGTCAGTGAATATTTCATTTGTGTATGCATAGTAGTGCTCATGACATTGTTCCGAAATGTCATGAAGGCGATCAGTAACATTTGCTGTAGCAATCACCATCTAACTGTATGTCCATTTCAGAGACATCTTTCAGGTCCTGCAGCTATTTACTGCCGTGTTAGTTGTTTTATTGCTTTCATTGGGACAAAAAGCTAATTATAAGCAGGCATGTACACGGGAACGAGAAAGACGGGCAATTAAAGCAGAGGAGTGTAACCTTAAAATGCTGGAAGGTCAGAGTGTAAGTCACACAAATGTGCTTTCCTCCAACTTGTTTTCCTCTCAACGTAAAACAGCTTCCCTCTCTTGTTTCGTCTCCCTCCCCCTCATCCTCTTTCTGTGTTGACTCATAGTGTTTGCCCTGATGAGCTGCACAGCAAAAATAACCTCTCATGGTAGTTGTAGCTACTCTGGATCAGGGGAGAACATTCACAGCTAACAAAAAAGCTGCACAGCTGCTTCAGAAATGGCTTCAAAATTGGCATATTGCTAAATAAATATGTTGGTATTATATAGTTGCTGAGGAAAGTACTGCACTGAGAAACACTGGCATCGGTTAAACCGTCCATTATCTCCTTACATTAGCATCTTTTTCTCCACTTTCTCTGTCAGTTTCATGCTGGTGGTTCTGTCTGTGTGTATTTCTTAGCTTCAGATACCAAAATGATGTTTGGTTATCACATCCACAAATACAGCTAAATCATAATAATCTAACCCAGAGTCACATACTGTACAGTATAATGCAGTTCACTACTCTAACAAATAAACAAATGCATGTAATGTAGGGCATTGACATTCTAAGCTGCAGGATGTTTTTCATAAACTCAGGTCTTAAACCACAATACCTCATGGGTTTCCCCTTTGCTTAAGCATAACAAAATGATCTGAAAGTGTTTACTAAATTCGTTAGTCGTGTCTCATTTTTGGTTGTTGGTACGTGTTCACAGCTGAACGAATTTATGGGTTGACCTACTTCATAAGTTATTGCTTTAGTCCAACGCACTAAGAGATCTTTTATTTAGCCTCTGTGAAAAGAAGTGATCAGAAAGAAAGCTCTGAAGTCCTAAGTTTACTTGTGCGTTCATTTAGCACTTTAATAACAGTTTTCTGGGTTCTTTCAGGTTTGCTGGTGGGAACCTTAGATGTTGTCCTGGACTCCAGCGCTCGAATGGCTCCATATAGGATCCTCTACCAGACGCCCGACTCTTTAGTTTACTGGATCATTGCTCATGGTAGGTGCCCTTTGGCTCCCGCTGTAAAAACTGAGGGAATACAGTCATTTACAGCAAAGCAGCCCACTAACTTCCAGTCTAGTTTGTGAATTTAGTTGGTTGATTTGCACCACTTCAGGTGATTTATTATTTGTTTTTCCTGTTCATTTTAGGGATGCATGTATGGGTTATTCTAGATCCCGCTGAAGTTTTTCAGCTAATACTGATTGAGTTGCATTATAAGTTCATGTCATCATTTGGCGTTCACAATAAGACCGTGTGCTTTTTCCTCCGTACCCCAGCCTTCACTTGTCAGCTCAAGGTTCTGTGGGTAAGAGCGCTTCATAGACCGTCTGCAGCAGTAAATCATGTAATTAATCAGCTCCAGCTCCAGATTGATTAGAAGCAGCGCCCTTTTTGCTGCATCATTGCGGCACTATGCTATTAAATATGAAATTGTCCCAGCTATATATTAGGAAAAGCCTTGATACTCCCCACTAGGGCTCAACTACAATTATTTTCATCATTAGTGAATCAGAAAATAGTGGAACTGACTTGGTAAAACTGCTTCTGTGTTTGACTAATAGTCCAAAACTCAGAGGGATTCTGTTTGCTGTTGTCGGAAATAAAGAAAATCTGTTTAAGTTTCCCTTATTGATTGACTACTCAGTTAATCAAAAATTATTTCAGCTCAGTTAAAAAATAGCTAAGGAGGCATTTCTGTGTTAGTCTGAAAACAGAGCAGCAGTTCAGATATGCAGATATGAAACGATCTAAAAAGCCGTAATTGGAAGACTGGTTGTTATTACTTTTGACTTTGTTTTGCTTCAGTCTCTTCTGTGCTACAACAATGATGTGAACTCCTGTACACGTACACAGGGACAGGTGGTAGTAGTAGTAGGATACTATCACATCTTTTGCAGAGGCATCAATCAGGATTATGCTTGATCAGGTGGAAGGATCAAATTGAATGTAGCATGTGTAGCCATGTATGTAAGTTAAATATTTATATAAAAAAGAGTAGTATTTGTGTTTTCCCTTTCTGAAATCGAGGCCTTTTTTTAAAGACTAGCCTGGCTTTTAAATGGCATTGGCTCCTCTCTTTTCCTCCGTCTTCCACACCCCTCCCAGTTCTTAATTCCTCAGCCCAGAGATAGCAGGGGAGTGGAGCCGTCTGGAGTGTAATGCAGTGAGTATGCACTCTCTGCTTTTTGCAGCAGCGTTGAGGGATAATGGCCCACGCTGGCAACCATTATGGCTGTTTCTCAGTTTTTATCTTTCTGATCACAGTAAGAAAATTGTAAGTAAGCTAAATATTATTGACCTGCACTGTTGCTTTTACCATCGTTGGCTGTTGTACCTGCTACAGAGCGAAACATGCTTGTTTTCTCTGACGGTCTAAAACCCAAAGATATTTATTTCCTATCATAGCATGAATAACATGAATCCAAATAAATATTCACATTAGAGAAGATGGAAAAGGGGGATCTTTGACTCGTTTTGCTTAAGAAATGACACAATAAATCAAAATGGTTGCTGATCAATTTTCTGTATTAATCATTTGACTAATTGTTTCAGCTTTATTCTCTTGTCTATACTTTGGGTGTGATCTTCAAATATTTCATATTTCTTTTTTAAAAAACAGAGTTGTTGTTTTAAGTATTTCTTTTTCATTCCAAGCCAGTTCACATGGCATTATGGCACAGTAGCTGGATCATTATTTCTGAAACATTAAACCATGATGCTCCTCCTGTGAACTCGCTGCCTGAGTGCTCTGACTTTTCCTTCTCCCTCCTCTGCAGGAACATCCCGTAAAGAAATCACAGAGCACTGGGAGTGGCTGGAACATAACCTCCTGCAGACTCTCTCCATCTTTGAGAACGAGAATGACATAACAACCTTTGTCAAAGGAAAAGTCCAGGTAAACAGAACTTTAGTTTAATGTTCATTTTGGATGGGGTTATTATTAGAACATTTTTATTTGCTGGTCACAGTGTAAAGTGTGCACATCCAAATAAGTTAAAAAAACAAACTGAAGAACTTTGACCTGCCTTCCCACTGTACTGAAAGCTGTAATTTAACAAGCGCACTTCAGTCAAACAGATACCTGTGTCAGGTATTAATAGGTAAACACCACAGAGCAGAAAAAGTAGAATAAAAAGATGTAAACAACTGTTTGCGATCTGTTTGATTACGTCAGTCACCTCTTGGACTGGGTTAATCGTATCAGTGCTAACATGCATGGCAATAAAAAAAAAAATCTAAAATGTATTGAATTTACTACATCACAGAAAATCTCTACAATATAATACATAAATCACAGCCATAGAAGCCAGAAGACAAAAAGGTTTCTGTATGAAATTTGAACAGAACACTAAAAATACATATTTAATAACGGTGTGGAATTGATTCTAATATTTTTATGAAGCTTTCAAAATAGAAATTGGCACCAGTCATTCTCAGAGATATGAGCTGTCACATACAGCAGCAGTTTGCATCCCATACATAGTATTAAGGAAGGGAAAAGGAAAAACAGACATTCTAACGTTGCATACATTAATAGTCTTGTCAAAATTTGAGATTTTATGAAACTCTCTGGTTTGAGTAGTGTGCAGAATGTAGCAGCTTGTATGTTGAAGTTTTCGGGGACCACAAATGGCCAACGCTGGTTTCTGGGTAGAGGAACTGTGGTATATATATTGGAAACACCCCCACACAAAAATCTTTCAACCACAGAGCCCACATGTGAAACAGTTCTCCTGGAAAAAAAAAAAAAGCCCATGCCTATTATGTATAACTGTGGAATTTCACGTGTGTTTACTAAAACAAAACAAACACTAATAAACTACCATTGCTTCTTACTTTACAATCCCTACTTTTTCACATCCCAGTTTATTACCTCGGCACATCACAACATTTTGCTTCAGGGTATTATTGCAGAGTACAATAAGAACCATGATGTCAAAGAGGACGATGACACAGACAAGTTCAAGGAGGCCAGCGCCAAGTTTCGTAAGCTGTTCGGGATGCCTGAGGAGGAGAAGCTGGTCAACTATTACTCCTGCAGCTACTGGAAGGGAAAGGTGCCTCGGCAGGGATGGCTCTACCTCAGCATCAACCACCTCTGCTTCTACTCCTACTTACTGGGAAAAGAAGGTTTGATATAGACCTTTCATATTGTCAGGACAGATGTTTGTGTCTTGAACAACTGCCTATTCTCATGTTTATTTTTATTGATATTTTCATGACAATAAGAAAAGTTATCTTTCAGTGGTATATAAAATGGGTTAGTTCTTATAGTGCTTACAGTATATATTGTTGATTTCTTTCTTTTTTTATTTTTCCCCTAGTATTTTTACTTCTTTCTCATATTCTCTCAGATCCTCTGACAGTTGAAGTCCAGTCATCCTTGGTTTAGGGGCCTGTAGAAATTTCTGCTTGATGGCTTTTCTTTCTTTGATTTGATTTATTTATTCTTTCAAGCATGTAAAGACAGTTGATATATCAACACACATAATTTTACACATATCCAACAAATGCTAATCCAGTATCAATTTGCTTATACCTAGTACATGCTTGAATGGAGTAGGAAGAAGTCAGACTTATCCAGTCCTACCCCATGACATCATCTTACCATCATTGGTTTGCAAGCAGTAAATGATTCACTTCTACCACACAAGTATTATACTA